AAATGCTCTCCTTAATTCCCTTCACTACCCTCAGAGGTCTCCTCCAAAGGAATAAATCAATCATATACTAAGGCCACCTGATCCCCTTCAGGCAGGATGAGCTAAATCATTCATGGCTGCTGAACCTGTTTCTGTTTCTTTCTCAGGTTGCAGGTGTTTATATTCTGCACAGGCTTTGTAAATTTGGAGCTTGCACCTGTCATACAATGCAGACAGGATACTCAGCTTCTTATTGGAGAATTTTATTTCTTCTATCCAAGGCATCTTGGAAAGCAAGCTTTCTCTCCACATTGCTGGGTCAGTGAGCACAGGGACATGGCCTCCTAGACACTGCACTTTATTCAGGTCTGTTCTAACTCTGTTGCCCCTCAGGGCAAAAAGGGGTACCTCCTTTTCCTACCTGAGTATTAGAACCCCTGGCCCCAGGCCCCTGGTTACTTTTATCACTTCGATTTTAATTTTTTTCTTTGCTTGTTTACACCTGGAGATACTCTTTCTTATTAGTTCTTCTACATCTTAAAAGTGTTTCTATATTTTATGCAGTATTTCCATTGTTTATATTAGAGGAAGGGCCTTAATACCTGTTTGGATTACTAGTCAACAAAGTGCTGTTGTTCCCAGACATCACATTTTGGTCCTTCCTTCCTTGTGGTACCTAATGCCACACATGGAAGATGCTCCTTACATCAGAGCATGAGTGGAAGGTAGGAGGAAGGAATAAGGCATGTGTGCTAACCTCAGTGAAGCAGATTTTGTTTTTAGCCACACAACTGAAAGGGTGTCACTGTTTGTTGAATGTGAGATAGAGTCAGATCGGTGAACTTAGTTTTGAGGTACAGACATCTCTTATCTGACCATATTACTTATTAAATAAAGCAGCTTCAAGAATTGCAAAAAGCCAGCCCTAGCCAGATAGCACTATTGGTTGAAGTGTCATAACATACACCAAAAAGTTGTGGGCTTGATCGCTGGTCAGGGCACATACAGTACCTAGGCTGTGGGTTTGGTCCCTGTCGGGGACACACGACAGGCAACTTATCAATGTTTCTCTCTCACATCGATTTTCCCTCTCTTTCTCTCTTCTGCACCTTCCTCTCTCTAAAAATACCAACAAGAAAAAATATCCTTGAGTGAGAATTTTTTAAAATCGGATTAAAAACCCAATTGCAAAAAGCCTAACAATAAATCCTCTAGGTACTCCATTGTTTTAAATTAACGTTTGCAACTGAAGTCAACCACACCTCCTTGGGCTGACCCTAAAATAATTCTTTTCTGAAAAAGTCACCGCATCCTGGCACTTAAAAACAATACAGAAGAGTCCAGCTCTTAGAAGCTGTTTGTTTTGATAGGAGCCGAATCAAGTCTTTTTTGATTAATACAAAGCTCTTCATAGTGCCAGGGGTTTTATTCAGCTGTTTTCTGAATCTCTCAAAGCTCATCTTATGAAATTTTAGTGAGACCCCACACCCCCTCCCCAGCCTGGACACCTCCTTTGGCCTGCTGTTCACCCTCTCCAACCTCAGACAGGCAGACAGACAGACAGAGGGGCCTTGCTGACCAGCAAGCTGGGCTTCCCCTTTCACCCACCTTGCCTGCCAGCCGCAGAGGTCTCTGGACTGATGCCCATAGTGTGTACCAGAAATAACACACACCTTTCAGAGGTCGGTCTTCGTCTGATAGGACTTGAATTCTGAGACGATAGAAGTGGCTGAGGCACAGCAAGGCCTGGAGAATCTCACTCTGCCTCCTGAAGTGTAGCAAGCATTTAACCACTCCCTCCACTGCGAGAAGGAGTGGGCAGGGGAGGACAACAGAGGAGCAGGTGACTGCTCCGACTCCGGGGTGAGCAGGCCCTGAACCAGTGTGGCAGGTTGGCACGAGGCCAAACCTTGTGCCCATTCCTCTCCAGTGGACCCTGAAAAGCTGCTTTCCCAGCCAAGGAGCTTGTCATACCAGCCTGACAACAGGCAAACGGAGACCTAGGCTGTCATTGGCAGAGAACCTGAAAAGGTGCAGCCAATATCTTCTGATTTCCACCTGGATTAGACACACCTGTATCCAGTCCCCTGTGCTCCTGCACCCATTAGCTTAGCTAAATCAGAGATCACAGAGACAACCAGAGAAGGAGAGTGGGTTCTTCTGTGGCAGGTTTCAGTATGCAAGATGGACAAAGATAGATGGACAAGGGGTGTCGAAATAGCCCTTGCCACCTCAGTGCCCTGTATGTCCAATGCTCTAGGCACAGTCAAAACAGTTAAGAGGGGTGGCCTTTTCTCTATAATAATCTCTAGACCTTTCTGAAAATTGAGGTCATCTAATACGTAAGAGTCTCATGCTGCCTGGGCATTCCAAAGGATGAGGGTCATTTCTGACAATATGTAAGCCACTCACCCTGGAACCAGTTAAATCCAATGGTTTAGGACTATATTTCTGCCAACCATGGGCTGAGTGAGGCTAGGAGCTGTGTCCTTACCTCTGTATTCTGCAGCCTGGGATGAAATCTGTCAAATACTATGTCCTTGGAATTGAGTCTGGCATGAGTGCCCTCATGGGGCCCCCATGGAAGGTGAGACCCCAACAGCCACTTCAGACGCTCCATTCTAAAGTGGTTCATCCTTGAGCACTGGGATAAGAGTCTCCCCCTCTCTGCCACAGGTCAACCAGGAATGCTGGGAGGTGAGCTCACTGTGGGAACCTGCCCCCTGGCTCTATTGGAAGTATTTATTTATTTATTCAGCACATGTGAACAGGACATCTGTTCTAGCCTAGGGCCTCCCATGACTCTAGTGCAGGCGGCGTGGGTGGGGCAAGACAGCTCCCACATCCCTGAGCATCTCATTAGCCCATTCACTATAGCAGTCAGGCTTCAACTGAAAGGCTTCTTTGCACAGAAGTCACAGGCTCCCCTGGGTTCCCAGCACAGTCGTCTGGGAGAAGAGCTCTCCCAGCAGAGGCAGGAAGGCATGCTGCCCCTCTTCAGGGGCCAAAGTCAGCCCCAAGCTCCCTCTGACCAGCACCCCCACTTCTGGACACTCTGAAAGCCTCTTGTGAACTCATGGAGGACCATCTGTTACCCAGCAGTGACACCAGTCCAGATGCAAAACAAAAATTCACCTGCATCAAGCTCGTTACAACATTCAGACACATACAAACCCTAAAGTGAATGGGACCCTGTAGGGTAAGTGGAGGCAGTCTGGCTTCCTCGCCCAGGTGTCTGGGTAACTAAGAGGAGCAGTGTTCCCATAGCCTTGGAGAGGCCTGATAACCAGTGTTCTCACAGCCTTGAGACTGGGTCTGATAAACTGTTCCCATGACATGAAGTGAGCTCACATGCACAGGATTATGTTATGTAAGGTTGGGGCAGTTTTCTGTCTTTGTCCCCCTCTAGTATTTAAACAGGCAGGGGCTTTCCACTAGAGAGGCGTGCAGCTTGTGGCTGGCATGGTCGCCCACCCACCAGTAAAGACTGTCAAGCATCCCTATGGCTCCGTGCATTTCCTTCCGTCTACTGGAGGCAAGAGTGGATCTGCCCGGCCTTGGTCAGTTGCAACACAGACCCCAAAGGAGGTGGGTTCTGAGTGCAATTAGACTAACAGAAAGAGAGCAGGTTCTAATTCAGGCTCCACTGATGAGATAGAGCAAATTCCCAAATCTCACTGAGCCTCAGAATCCTCCTTTGTGAAATGGAGATGGTGGGAGAAGAAGATAATTTCTGTCTAGGGTTGCCAGTTAAAATACAAGATGCCCAGTTAAACTTGAATTTCAAATAAATTGGATTTCTTTTAAGTGTATCTCATGCAATATTTTTTTCCTATGGTATTTTCACTTGCTACATTTGGCAACCTTAGAGCTGCAGAGGTTGAAGTTATCAATTACAAGGGAGCTAATCTGGGTGATCTTTGTAAATGGTGGTGTAACACTGTACAGGACTTGGGGCAGGTCTTCTCTGTTTGCCTGCTGCTCCTGAAGGTGGGGCTATGTCCTACTAGACTGTAACTCCACAGTTTCCAATGCCCAGCCCAGTGTGTGGGCATGTGGGAAGTGAACCGCACGTTGGTTTTGGTGTCATGGTTAAATGATATTTAGTTGGCATTGTTCAGCAGTTGATAGGGAAGGTGGCTGAAAAGATGACTGCAGAGAACCTGTGGCAACTGCACCCTGAAGGAGCTGCCCCAAGGCTGTTCTTTGCTGGCAGTAGAAGCCATCAGCGAGGTCCAGAGGGCTGGAATCAGCAAGAGCAGCAAAACTGAGTCTGGGACTGTCAGAGCAGAGGTGTGGGGGAGTTCATGAGAATTAGTGATTAAGCAACAATGTGACGATATTGCTGATGTGATACTTTCCCCAGATTATACAAATAATTTATGTGCATTTGAAAATTTTTAAAATGCAGGAAAATATTAAGAAGATTGAATTTATTCATAACCTCACAACCCAAAGATAGCCACAATTAATATTTCATTCTATACTCATAATATTTCTGATAAAAAGATATATATATCTTATATATGTATATATCTACATTTATATCTAACAGATATATATCTATATCTATCTAATATTAGATATAGATATAGATAGATATAGATATCTTACATACACATACATATTTAGAAAACAAAGTCCATATTATACTTCATTTATGATTTTGTATTTAGCTTTTCCAAATTATTTTATTTTGAATTTTACCTCATGTCATTAAATAGTCTAATGACGGCCTATAATCAGCTTTTGTATGGGTCATAATTTCTTATACCAATCCCTAATTCAAAATTTAAATTGTTTTCAGTCTCTTGGCGTTGTAAATAAAGCTGATATTCAATTGCACAAAACTACATACAAATCTCTGATTATTTTCTCAGGGAACTGGAGTGAACTTACTAAGTCAAAGATTGTGCATATGAAAAGATATTGTTTAAAGCATTAACATTTATTGAGGATTTGCTGTATGCCCTGCATTGTTGTCAGTACTTGGCATGTGCTAAATCGCTTTATCCCTATAGGACTACAGGTCATGACTACTGTTTTCCTCATGTCAGAGAAGAAGAAACTGCAACACAGAAATTGTATAACACGACAAAGTTTCACACTTAGAAAATTAAAGAAAGAGGAGGGATTTGTCACAACCCAAGCATCTCCAATCCAAGGGTCTACAGTCCTTCCCTGCTATGTCACCAGTTTTTCACTGGTAGCTTTGAATATTCATCTCAGTTCTGGGCAATACAGAGCAATTTTGTGTCTTCACCTTTGGCATTTTGATAACTAACTTATAGATTGTTTCATTTGTATTTTTAATAACTATGTAGATTGAAATTTTATTAAAAATTTGCTTTTATATTTTTGGAAAACTAGCAATTTTTATGTGACGGTAACTGTCTTTTACTCTTTGCTATATGCATATGTGTATAAGTATGTATGTGTGTGTACATATATTTTCTATGTTGAAGATACTAATGTTAATCTATGCTTATCATAAATATTTTGTTATTCCCCATGTAGTATTGCCATGTACTTTTATAGTGGTATTGATGTCTTTAATTTTGATACACATGAAATTCCTTTATACACAAGGAATTCTATTATTCCTTACTTTAAATATTTCTATGTAAGAATTGCTTCTGTCTTCAATATTGATATGTTCCTTTAACTGTGTTATGATTTTATTTTTTATTCAAATATTTGATCCACTGGAAATATGTTTTATTAATGTTATTTTGCTATTACTGATATAACTGATTTCTAAAACTTAAAACCAAGTTTCCCAATAATATCTACTAATTAATGTATCATTTCTCCAATTATGTGAAAGGTTATATCTGTTATACATATTTTAGTTGCTATCTATTCTCTTCCTTTCTTCTTTTTATCTGTCTTAAGACATTTGCCACATTGTTTTGATTATTGCAATTTTATTAACATTTTAGCAATGTCCACACTGCTCCTCTTTTTTAAAAAACTTTTATCCTCATTTCTTTATGGCTTTGGATAATATTTAGAAATACTTTGTCACATTATAAAATTACATTATTGGGAAATTAATTGAGAATACCTTAAATGCACCTATTATTTGGGGAAGAAACGCATTTATAAAATAATGTCTTTCCTCCAGGAATAAAACTTATTTCATTTTTGTTTATTTAATATACTTTGATAAAGTTTTGTAGTCTTTTTTACATAGCCTCTCAATAGTTCTTTTTTAGTTTATTCTTAGCTGTTTTGTACATGTTTTATTCATTTGAATAAATCTCTCTTTAAAAGAATTATATTTGTTTTTTGAAATGTCCAAAAAGCTTTTGTGGTAATAGTAGTTGGTGATTATTTAGTTTTAGCCAAGTTTCTGTGTAATTTACTAGTTGAAATAGATTTTTAGTGGATTCTCTTGGTTTGCAAAAGAGAAAAATTCCTTACCCGAAATGACACCTTTGTCTTATTGCCCTTAGCTACCTGTCAGTTTTCAGTTTGTTTTATTGCTTTGGATTGAACTTCCCAAACATATTGTATAATTGTGGTGGTGGCAGGTGTGTGGCAGTTGTGTGGCAGGTGTGTACCTGATTCCAGTGAAAACTCCTCTGGTGTTTCACCACTGTATTCAATCTTCACTGGGTTAAAATATATCCTTTCTCCTCCTCTCAAGAATTATTTTTTTTTCATTGTGCTAATATTAATATTTGATTTTATCTAACATATTTTTATTATAATGCTTATATGATTTTTTCTTCTGGCCTGTTTATGTACTATGTTTTAATAGTAGCTTTCCTAATATAAATACATTCTTTCATTCTTTAGAGAAAAAATGCACCTTTGTCTTGATTTTTTGATGTTATATCAGATTCAAATGCCTAGTATTTTCTTTTTGATTATACAATAGGAAAATAGTTTGCATTTTTCTTCTCCTGTGCTATGGTCATCAAGATTTAGAACCAAGGTTATAATAGCTTTATAAAAGTAATTAGCAAGCTTTGGATCTTCTTCTAGTCTTTCAAACAGTTTACAGAGTAGGTGAATTATCTGTACTTCAAAGTTGGAAAATTGTTTATAAAAATATTTGAGCCAGAACCGTTTTTAGAGGTAAGACTTTGACAACACTTTCAATTTCTTCCCTAGTAATTTTTCTATTCAGGTTGTTTGCTTCATCCTAAGTCAATTTGGGTCACTTATATTTTCCAGGAAAATTATCATTTCATTGAGATTTTTTAATCTGTTGGCATAGAACAGTACATAATATTCTCTTACAGTGCTTTAAGCTCTCTCTTATCTAAAGCATCATTCCCTTGTAACTAATTTTGTGGCTTTGTGTTTACTCTTTTATATTTTCAATTAAACTTGTAGAGTTTGTTTATATTGCTGGTTTGGTTATGATACTAATGAGGTCCAAATATAAGACTTCTAAAATTAATTTGAATTTTTCCTCTTTCCTAATGAATTTCCTCTTCTTTATTATTTTCTCCTTTCTGTTTTTCTAAAGTTTATTTTGCTATTTATTTTGCATATCTTAGTCTAATGGCTAATTATTTTGCATTTATCCTTTCATGATAACAATGAAAATATTAAGACTGTGCAGTTGCTTCTGAGTGTAAATGTGGCAACCTCTTGTAGTTATTCACAGGCAACTTTCTAGTCAATATTTTCAAAGTAGTTCAGAATATTTTCTCACCTCTAAATACAAAATCTATTTATGTAGCATTGTCTCTTAATTTTATGAGGTTGGTGTTGCTCTATTTTAATTGGCATTAATAATTTACAGTTCTTCACTTTGTTTTTTACCACAGTATGTTTAAGTCATGCTATTATAAAATTTTGCTTTGGGAATTATACATACTAATTTGATTTTGTAAATAAACATGTGATTGGTTTGTATTACATATCATGGGCATTTTAAAATGCAGTGGATTCCATTTTTAAAGCTCATTACAGTATATCATTGTGTTTCTTGCATTTTTACTTGGTGATCTTTGTGTACTTCCATGTACTGTTTCAGTTGTGTGTATAAATTACATTTTCATGGTGGGGGTGTTTTGAAATATAATATGACATACTACAATTCCCTTTTTTATGTAAAATATCATGTCTTTTACTTTATTCTAAACATTTTCACTCATCTTTCTTAAAGAAGTGTCTGTTTATGGATAAATCTCTATGAATTTTATTTTCAGCTTTTCTGAGTAATTTCAGTTAATATGTGTTATCTTAAACAGACTAATAATACCTATTTCTTATAGCTGTTTAAAGAATTAAATGAGATAATATTTTAAAGTGATTAGTGTAGTATTTGGCAAATAGAAAATGCTCACTAAGTACCAACTAATACTTAGGTACTTTAACAGCATGCATTAAAGTTTTAAAATGAAATTATAATTTGCAAATTATAATTAAAGACTACATAGCTTGTTTGCTTTTATTGTCTCATGTTGCATTTTAAGCATTATTTTTGGCATCTTGTTTCATATTTTTGTTTTTTTTATGTCCCTTTCTTTGCTCTTTGCTTGTTTGTTCACTTGACTCTCCCCAGCAGCTCACAAGGCACTGTGAGAAGTGCTATGGATGCTGTAGTGAGCAAAACATAGTTGTTCTGGCCTCAAGGGCTTACCTTCTAGCAGGCAGACACAAATCAAACTGTCACCCAAACAATATGTAAAACTGAAGCCATGATAAGTGCTTTGAGGTGTGTTATGAAGGCAAAATCACAACCACCACTTGGATTCACATAAACATTGGCAAAGCACTGGCATTAAGAGGTGTTCCCTGATAGTCTATGATTAAAGTGTGGATGATTCCTTCATAATCAACATTTCTTGCATAAAATGTCACAGACAGCTCACTGGAATCTCTAATACTGAAAATACAGAGACAGATTGCCGTCTGATAGGATTCAACATTTCAGGGGAGGGAATCAACAGAACACTTCTTAGGTAAAACATCCAAGATCCCAAGCTACAACTTGACCACACTGGAGAGAAAAATACCCATTTTACTGAGTCATTCAATAACAGGTATTTGGTATCTTCTGTGTACTAAGTACTGTGCTGACCCATACATGTGCAATGAAAATAAGGCATGGTTCCTGCCTCAAGGAGCTGCCAGCTCTCAGAGAAGCACGCGAGGCCACACATGGAAAGCAGAGAACTCGGCGATGGGACGGCAGGCTGAGGCAATGCTAACCCTCTCCAAATACTGAAATGCAGGAAGGCTATGGTACCTTCTTCCCTATCCCAGCTGTCTAAAGATGGATGAGTTTTCCCATGAGAAAACAGGTTTTACTCCCACCAGTTCTATTAACTGGTCCATCAACTTCTTTATCTACCTATTATATCAACTATAGATGCCTGTAGGTATGACTTTTTAAAATGTTTGCTATAAGAATTTTCAAAGATTCAGAAAGGTACTAAAAATCATATAATGATTATCCATATACGCAAACCCCAATTATTATTAAACCGCAATTTTGTTAACATTTTTAAATTTTTTCTGTAGATCTCCTTAATTAATGGGTAAAATTTTAACCATACACTTGAAGCTACCTTTGCCCCCTGCTGATCCATTCCTTTCCTCTACTCTCCAAGCTTGTACTGGCATGGAACAGTGTGTACAGAACAGCACATCAACTGACGTTGTTGTCAGCCTTTCCCACCCATGTCCTCATGTATTTACTGAATTCATACATCTGATTGTTTTCTAAAGCTTTTACCCTCATTTACTTTCTCGCTCAAAACTCCTCTGTGGCTTCTCATTGCCGGGCCCAATGGTTCTCAAATCACACCCATCTTCTGAATCCCGTTGGGAGTTTCAAAATTATATAAAAAGATTCCAGGGCTGTCCTTGAGGATTTTTCCATTTTCCTGGGTTTCTTGACCTTGGAACTGTTGATGCTTGGAACTGCACAGTTCTTTGGTCTGGGGATAGTCCTGTGCATCATAGAACGTTTAGCAGCATCACTCGCCTCTATTCACTAGATGACAGTGGCATGCACCCTCTCCTCCATTTTAACAACCAAAAACATCTCCAGACATTGCTGTATAAACCATGTCTTTTATTTTCTATGGTTCTAATGCTTTCCTATCAGGGCCTTCCTGACACTGGAGAGTACTGCCCCTCCCAGGTTGCCTCCCAGGTTTAGGCAATTCCAAGAGTTAGTAAGCAACTTGTCCACAAACATGCTTTTCAGTTACAAACTAACAAAACCAGAGCACATACTCCAACTGCCTTCTTTATGAGCTCTCACTTTCCTGGCCACCACTCAC